TGACGCTCATCTCCTGCTCTGCCGCGCGGCCCGGGCGCAGAGCGCTTGCATCTGAGGCCCCCTGGAGGGGCTCAAGGGAGCCCGGGGTACTCGAAGTAAGCACAGGCGAGTTCATTTCGCCTACGTGATGTCTTTTCTGGGGCTTTAAAGCCACGCTTGCTTTCATCTGACCGCACAGTCTTTCTTTCGAAAGGCGCTCTCTGCATTGTTATTGACAAGTAATAAATCCAGGAACCCGTAAAAACCGGGGAGCTACTAGCCCCAGGGACTTGATTGAGAAAATGATGAATGGGCTGGGGGTGGCATTCCTGGGATTGTAATGTTTGGTCAGGTCCACCACATCCGATTCCAGCTCAGAAGCTTGTCGTTTATCAAAGCAATGTTTGGGGGCTCATCATCTGGAGGCTGAAGCCCCGTAATATCCCCGCCTCTCTCTCTCTCTCTCTCTCTCTCTCTCTCTCTCTCTCTCTGTGAATTTCTTGTACTGTTCAAAGAGATCTTTCATTCCGTTGTATTAAAGCGACTCTTTTGAACCCCAGTTTTCTCTCTCAGCAGCCTTGTTTTGTAGTTCCTGGATTGTTCAAACATTCATCCTTAGGGAAATTACTGTCCTTTTAAAAAAGTGCACATTGTCTCCCTATGCAAACATCTTAAATCCTATTCTAGAAACTTGTGAAAAGGCACCAAAATACCCTTGAGTTTGTTAAACTTGTCATTTGTTGCAAAGTGGGATTTAAAGGGCCCAAGTTTAGGGCAGGAAGTAATCATTCTTTCAAATTACATTTTTGACCGGATTGCTGGCAAGTTAAGTCTTAAAGCCTGCTAGAGAATGTTGAGCCTTAGGTCTATCTATTACTAAAGAGATGGATACTTACAACACGTGCTCAAAGACCACTTCCTCTAAAAAGCCTGCCTTCCTTCATAGCTATTACCCCAGGCCACATGGACAACACTATCTATAATCATGTACTTTCCTCTCTGCCTCGCTATGATGGGGGACAGTTCTCATTCCCTTTTGGGTCTCAGTCTGATAGTATTTCATGTGTGTCTGTTAGATGGGTAAGGGAATGGATTGCAACTACATTGTGCCCCTTTACCTGTTTGTGTAAATCAAGATTGTGAAAATCAGAACAAGTGAGGTGGTGAGAGATGTAATGGGATTCCGTCATCGTTACGCAGAGCTTTTCATTAAGACAAACACGAACGATAATTGTAGGGCAAAAAAAAGATAGCAGTTTTTGTAACGATGACTGAACAGGAAAGACTGACTCACAGGAGACTGAGACAGATGTGGAATAAAAAACTGTATCATTGTCATGCATAATTTTTGACTGTTCTGTGTGCCCTTGTCATTTTAGCTGTGAAGTATGAGACTGAAAAAAAGTTGCATCAGCCCTAAACTTTGGTGAGGAAAAAGCATACACTGATGCAAACTTCTTGGACTACTAATGATTTATGAGTAAGTTCCTTGGAAACAGGAACAGTTGGAAAGAAGTAGTTACTGAAAGAGGTATGTGGGAGAAGAGAAAGGCATTGCTTTCTGTTGGGCACTTTGCTAGCCAAAGGGAAATCATGTCTCAAAAGTTAGAGATGCACCCTTCAAAATACTGCTTTCTAGGAAGTGTTCCTTGGCTGTGGACAGAAACACATGGAGGGAGTGTATAGTAGAGTGTATAGTAGCAGCTGTCTGTAGGTCAAGCTGACTGTAGGTGTGGAATCATACTTGTTTGGGCAAGTCACTGAAATCCCCTGCCCCCACCCCCCACCCCTGTTTTTTGTTGTTGTTGTTTTGAGATGGGATCCTACTATGTATCCCTGACTGGCCTTGCACTCATAGAGATCCCATCCAGGGTGTATTCCCAGCTCACTCACTCATATTTTTATTTCTGATGAACAAGCTGAAGCCAATCCTGAACCTCTAGTCTTCCTGCTTCTACCTTCTGAGTGCTGGGATTACAGATATGCACCAGCATAAATCCTGAATGAAAAAAAAATAGAGAAAAAAGAAAAAAAAAAAAAAGGACACAACTGCTCCTAGGTATGGTGGAGGAGAAAGTTTATTGTAGATAAAAGGGAGAGCATAGCCAGAGACAGGGGCATCTGGGAAAGTCCAGAGTGGACATGACCAGACTGAGCTGGGCCTGGGTGGGGCGGGGGTCAGATGTAGGGATATGGAGGAGAGCAGAGGGACCAGGTACAGCAAGCCAGGAGGCCCAAAGGCACAAAGACAGCAGGCAAACAAATGGTTGGATTACATAGGGAAGGGCAGGGCAGCCCAGCCCCCTGAGTTAGAGAGATAAGGGTAGGAGGCAGGGTAGCCAGCCAAGAGGACCCTTAACAGATAGTAACTGAGGAATTCCAGGAGAACCTGGTGGCCAGGTCTGATTTGATATGTTAAAATAGGTGCCGGTTTTGTCCTTGGTTTGAAACCTAACATCCACTAGGTCCCTTTTTTGTTTTAGTTTTGTTGTGTGTAATGGGATAATCAGTGCCTGTTCTCAACTGCTCTTGTTACAAGGATGAAAAACCAACTTTATGGTTTATGAAGTACTTGTAAGGTTGTTCCATCTTCTCTTTGTTCCCTGGGAACCTATGTGTAGAGGGTTAATCACATTTAAGTATGTTATTCCAAGTAAGCTCATTTTTGTTCATAGTCATTTTAATTTGTCAAATTGTTTTGTTTACGAAAATAGAATTCACAGCTCAAAAGTATAGGGTAAATCTGACTTAGGATTTATGAAGGGGAAAAAATGTGTGTGGAAAACACAAATTCCAGGAGGATGAAGGAACACAGAGTCATTTCCCAAAAAGACACTTGGATGAGCAGCTAGCCGGTGTGGTGTGTGCATCAGTGGGTGATTCATTGCCTATCTTTGGCTTGACTGGTTTTCTTTTGTACATTCTTTCTTTTTTAAAAATGGAGCACAATGACATTATCATCAAGAAATTGATCAGAAAGTGCTGGAGAGATGGCTCAGCAGTTAGTAGCACTTGTTCTTGCAGAGGACACAGGTTGGGTTCCTAGCACCCACATGGTGGCTCACAGCTGTTTGTAACTCCAGTTCTAGTCCAATCCAATGCCCTCTTCTGGCCTTCAGGGGCACCAGGCAGGCAAGTGGTGAATATATACATGCAGGTGAAACACCAATGCACATTAAATAAATTAAAAAAATAAATAAATGAACACACACACACACACACACACACACACACACACACACACACACACACACACACACACACACACCAGGCCCAGACTTAAAGGAAATGATTTGGTTTTCACCAAATCAGAAGGGCTAGTATTCAGGGGCAGGATGCTCTGAGAAGAAAGGAGGTTTTCTAAACAAGGGATTATGGTAAATGAGCAGCAGGTAAATTGTAAACAAGTTTTCAAGAAATAAGAAAAGACAAGGGAAATGTAAATTCTTTGCTGCATGAAAGGGAAAACAAAGTCTATAGACTGAAAAAGTGCAGGTTCCATAGAACTAGAACCCAGGGGGCTGTTCCTTGCTTGGTAGGGTGGCATTGGGACCAGCCTGTTCACTTCAGCTTTCTCCTGTTGAGTATTCTGTTACGGGAGGCGGGGAGGTTCCTCTGGCTCAGGGACCATTACTCTGCATCTGGTACATGTTGTTTTGTAAGAAAGACTATTGCATATATTTGTAGCATAAACATTTTTTTAAAAGATTTTATTTATTTATTATGTATACAACATTCTGCTTCCATGTATATCTGCACACCAGAAGAGGGCACCAGATCTCATAATGAATGGTTGTGAGCCACCATGTGGTTGCTGGGAATTGAACTCAGGACCTCTGGAAGAGTAGTCGGTGCTCTTAACCTCTGAGCCATCTCTCCAGCCCCTCATAAACATTATTTTTAATGGAGTAGTGAACTAGAGAGTTCATAGAATTTTTGTTGTATTGGATCTGAGGTCTTTCATTTTCCAAGACTTGCACAAGTTACCTGCCACAACATATATGGGTTTGGAGTTTCTTTTTTTTTGTTTGTTGAGCGTAGTTTTTTTTTTTTTTTTTCCAAGACAGGGTTTCTCTGTGTAGCTTTGGAGCCTGTCCTGGTACTTGCTCTGTAGATCAGGCTGGCCTCGAACTCACAGAGATCCTCCTGCCTCTGCCTCCCAAGTGCTGGGATTAAAGGTTTAGTTTCTTTTGTTTTATTTTGTTTGTTGTTTTTGAGTGCTGGGACTAAAGGTGTGCACCACCAACATCCAGCTTTTCTCAACGATTTTATTTATTATGTATATAACATTGTGCTTCCAGGTATATCTGCACACCAGAAGAGGGCACCAGATCTCATAGCGGATGGCTGTGAGCCACCATGTGGTTGCTGGGAATTGAACTCAGGACCTCTGGAAGAGCAGTCATTGCTCTTTACCACTGAGCCATCTCTCCAGCCCCCTAAGCTTAGTTTCTTAATTTGTGACCTCTTTAAAAAAATAATTTTAAGATAGGTAGTGGTGTACACCTTTAATTCCAGGGCTCTGGAGTCAGAGGCAGGAAGGTCTCTGTGAGTTTGAGGCCAGCCTGGTCTACAGAGTGAGTTCCAGGACAGCTAGGACTGTTAGAGAAACCATATTTCAAAAAAGAACCAACCAACCAACCCCCAAAAATGACATCATTTGTCTTCAGAGCCTAAAATGTTATGGTAAACCAGTATTCAGTGTCAGGATTGTATTGACTTCCTTTTCAGATGCTATTTGGAGGTTTCTTCAGAAGTTCACATTGTACTGAGTACTTGTAAGACAATTCTGAGGAGGATATTTGCATAAACAAATGCTGAGTGTATGGTAGGTAATGGCAGTGCTTCAGTGTACTGCAGTAAGGTACTGTTTTCTGGGAATCTCCTCAGTCATTTTCTGCTTATTTGTGTATTTTCTTCAGTTGTCCTACAAAACTTGATAAATGCAGTCAGAAAACCCTCCCTTGGGAGTGTTTAGAGGTTGTTGTTTTTTTTTTTCTTTTCCCTTAGAGATTCTAAGTCATCTTTTTATTGAAAAACATTCTTTTCATACCTGATTTAGGGATCAGTGATACTTAGTCCTTGTCAGTCACCTCTTTTGAGCATTACCCTATTAGAAATGTCTTGCAATAGGGAAAAAGTAAGAATATGGTGATATTCCTAGTAGGAAATGTGGAGTTCCAGGGCAGGAATTTGTTTTATGTGAAAAGTGTTTGTTCTTGCCTAGATTAGCAGAAACAGCCATTTCTTCCATTGTGATCTTGAGATTGTTCAAAATACAAATATCCAATAGAAAGTTTAAATGTGTTATTTGTAATACATGGGACAAGCCTTGGTGTTCCTCTGCAAGGCAAGTGTCATTTCCTGCTAAGTTTCCAGAGGCTTTTGAGGGCTTCATAGGAAACGAAGCTCCTTATGTTGCAGCTTTTGGCATTCTGGGAAAAGGGAAACTGGACCTGAACTGGAACTTTGTGTATGTGTGTTCATGCCTGTGTATTTTTTTTCTGTGTGTATATGTGTGTATGTTTGTGTATATCTGTATATATATGGGTGTGTGTGTGTGTGTGTTGTGTGTGTGTGTGTGTATGTCTATGTATATATATGTGTGTGTGTGTGCCTGTAATTGTACATGAGTATCTGTATTTGTTTTTGAGACTGTATGTGTGTGTGTGTGTCTGTCTGTGCCTGCGAATTTGTGTGTGTGTGTGTGTGTGCGCGCGCGCGCGCGCGCACGTGCCTGTATATATATGTGTATATGGGTGTCTGCTTATCTTTTTGTTTTATAACTACTTTTTTTTTTTTTTTGAGACGGTCTTACTATGGAACTCTAGCTGGTCCAGAACTCACAGAGATCCACCTGACTCTGCCTACTGGGTGTTGGAGTAAAATTGTTTACCACCATGCTAGGTTCAACCACTTTTTTTTATTATTATTTTTTAATTAACTAATTTTTGTGCTGTCTGTATGTATGTGTATCTTGAATGTGCCTGGTGCCCATGGAGGCTAGCTTTGCACTTTGATCTTCAGGCAAGCTTTATTTGTTACATCATAAACAAAATGTCACCACACCTACCCTGCTGGGATTAAAGGCAAATGTTCCTGTGCTAGACCACCCCCCCACACACAATCACACACACACACACAGTTTTAAACAGTGTTTTATTATGTAGGCTTGGTTAGTCAGGAATTTACAGTATAGACCAAGCTGTCTTCCAGTTTGAATCCCTTTTCCTCTGCCTTCCAAGTGTTGTAATTACCACCCACACTGGCTTCCCCTTGGAACCTTTGTTTGTTTGTTTGTTTGTTTGTTTTTCGAGACAGGGTTTCTCTGTGTAGCTTTGGAGCCTATCCTGGCATTTGCTCTGGACACCAGGCTGGCCTCGAACTCAGAGAGATCCGCCTGCCTCTACCTCCTGAGTGCTGGGATTAAAGGCGTGCGCCACCAACGCCTGGCCCCCTTGGAACTCTTATGCTCCCCCTTTTGCTCAGGATTGGGAAGGGAGTGGTCAGCTCCTCCCATGGGTTTATCCT